CAACGTGTCTGCAGGGTCGGTCGGACATTGATTATCACATCGAACATCTGCGACAGTAATTGAGTGGACTTGCATAAATAAGTCGTATGTGAATGCGTCTGAATGCATCATTGATGTGGAGGAAATCTGTTTTTCGGATTTTAATCGAAAGTTGCGCCCTCAATACCCAAAGGGTATCCTGCTAAGATCAATTCTTTAGATGAATGACCGATTTAAAATCAAAACGACTTGCGTAAGCGGCTCGGCCGTACCAATTAAATTCACAAATAAAGCAAAAATGAAGCTGGCTCAACTATTTGCTATTCTTATAACGAAGTACACGGAGTGGTACTGGGAGATCGTCCATGATAACGCATTCCGAACAATGAAGGATAGCTCCGTCCATGCTCCCATTTTAGCGTAACCTGTCATAAAAATCCCTTAAGTATCGTCTGTGACACACATGACTTTACTATAGGCAGCGCCTTGTTTTTAACATATGCTGCAGGCCGCGAGCGAGTTATCGCATATGAATCCCATCAGCTATAAATTACTAAAAGAATCTTGTTATTGCCAAAAATCGCTTTTTATGACGTTTGCAGCTGTAAAATTAGGAGCTTTTATGCTTGGCTCCAAGTAATTTTTCTTTCAAATAAACCACGCGTCGTTACGCACGTTGAAACAGTCGCCTCTCCTCTCTGATAGAATGGCATGTTGGCTTAATTTTATAGAATACTATCCTTCACGGTGAAGTAAAGGCTAGGTTAGCAGAACAGGCTTGAGTATGCGCTCTATGGCCGAACTGACAATGAGATTGCTCGTGTTGCGACCTTATCGTCTTTTATCGACGTAAAAACCTGTGTGGAATATGCACGTGTCTTTGATGTGTGGCATTGCTTAAAGTGTAGGTAGCGACGCGTACAATGGCTCTAGCATTCATTTTTCGGCACGGGTTACGTGTAAGCTTACATCGAAAATTTATCGATTGTAGCCTCTTGTGCGATTGCACGGATGTTATAATAACCACTCGTGCCATCGTGGCTCACGATGAGGATTAAACGTATCGCATCCTCTCTTGAATCCATGATACTGCTCTTAGTGGGCAGAAGGGATGGGAAAGACTTAGGCTTTCTGAGTCAACACTACTGGTGGCTAAAATTGCTCAAACGGGTAAGCACTTATGCGTGTACATGCGAAAACTTTTAACGGTTTAAACCCTCGGCGTGGTCGTCTACGCTGCTCACTAGTTTACCTGTACCTACTAAGTGATAAAAGTACATCACTATGAGCTTTTAGTGCGGTATTCCCAAAGATTGTGACAGAAATGCCGGCATAGAGCAAGATGGCGAACTACGCGGATACGCCGGACTCCTTCGATGCCAAAAAGCATAGCTTTATGGATCGTGTGTTTCGTCAGCAATCGAATTACCTGCCGATGGAAATCGTTTCCTTTAGAGACCCTCGCTTCACTCATGTTTTGGACTTTTATGTTAAAGATGCTTGGAATAAAATTAGCCGTGTCTACCGCGGATAAAACGCATTATGATGGTCAAAATGAGCGAGTAAATTTGTTCCTCAGCAATTTCATTTGCAGGTTTGTGCTGTGGCGCCGTGGACTTGAAGCACAGTGCTTACTGTCGTTGTGTTTGCGCTAACCAACACTTTTTCTGCCTCTTCTGGCCTTACTTCATTTAATGTAAATAGCCTTAACACACTCGCAAGTTCCGTCCACCCTACCACTGCGTTTTCTGGGTTTGGTGATGTACATACTTCGACAGGTTTGCTGTTTGCTGATACTAGCCCCGCTACTATGCAGCAACAGGTGAGCGAATATCTTGCGACCCACTTTTGTGCTTTACTCCATAGGCAAAATGCAATAACTAATATTCAAGCTAAAGAAAAGGTTGAGCTGATGCTAAAGACAGAGAATGTATTAGTTTTGATGAAATCGGTGACCGGGTCTTACTAAACGCTAGAAGCTACTTACAAAAAGTGTTTTTTGTACTCTTTATTATATTATTCGAATGCCTTTCTCAAGACAAAGTCCAGGCATTCTTTATGCAATAAGTTCCAGAAAAGGCATTCTTTATGCAATAAATATTCCGTTTGATATTTTTAACAATCAGCTTTTACGTTGGCTTGATTAAGCCGTATCATGATCTTTCGTTAGAAGAACGGGAGATTATTACCGCTGGGAGATATAGGCTCCACCGGATAGATGAATCTTCGTCAAGAGCTTTGCCTGTTCATACAACAAGGTTAGGTTGTACTCTACCTTCCGAAGTGGTTCGTCGACCGAGTTAACCGATTCAATAGCAGTTCTTCTGCGCAAGAAACTGATCCAACCCATACGATGGAGATGATAAGCGCGTTGTCTTGATCGAGGATAACCTGGCTTTATTAAACTTGAGACTTAGTTAATGCACTCTGCAAGCAAGCGAGAGACTCGCGAAAGCATGTTACCTTCGTCACCAACTCTTCGTGGACCCGCATTGATACACTGTCCTCCCCTGGTATTTCTAGACTAACAAGGAAACTTTTAATATCACGTGGAGAAGGTCCTGAAGCAGCATTGTCAAATAGGAAAACACCAGTATCTGGCGAAGTGGCGTGTATATCCTAAATCTGAAGACTCATTAGAGTTCGAGGAGGCACTTCGGTAAGATTACCCAAACGCTGCTGGCGTTTTTGAGCGCCGTGGCTTCTGGCCCAACGAGCTCGACAGCAGTGGGTATGGGGGTGCAAGGGTCGCTCGCTACAGCTCGTATCGCAGATGACCTGATATTCGGAAACCGTTGTCATCTCTGGCGTTAGGTACCTCTCGAAATGATCATCTTGTTCAGGCATCAAACGTAGCTTCGGATCCTCCAAAGCAAGTGGTCAAGGCAAATCCCATTAATTTTCTCAGGAATACATTCACGCATAAAGGCTTATAGATGTAGTCGTTAGAGCCTCGAAAACCGCTCATGTCTGAAATATACGTCTATCTACTTCGTTGGCATTAACAATTGATGTTTTATCTGATCGATACTATCAATGAAAATTCCTTCCCAAATTGTTTTCGATAAATGGAGCGCTGCTACCGCATAAGAGGTGCTTTAATGCGCAAAATATTAGTAGGCGTCAAAGCTCTCACCTGAAGATTAAGAAGAATGCGGGTGTAGCGAAGAACAACGAGTGAAGAAAAGACGATGAAGCGATTATGGTTGGCTATGTGAGTGAAATAGAAGGCAGGAGAGTATGGTGAATGATGGATGACTGGAGGCGAATCGGAGTTAGAAGGAGGCTTCTCAAAGAGACTAGATATCGTGCGTGACGCGAAAGTTCCGTACACAAGAGAAGTCATGAAGACGTGCAAGTGTGATGAAGACAAGGCCAATATACGAAGTCGCAAGATCGGCAGACCTAGGTAAGCCTTAAGGGCGCTAGAATCCGAGGCGACAATAGTACCACTCGAAGTGGTCTAGAATGGATCATACGTTTTAATATAGTCGAGGGCCAATACTGCTGACGAGAATCGATAGAAAGCCAAACAGCACGGTCGTCAAAAGGAAAGTGTTGTAAATGGAGTTGTTATAGCGGACACTCCTTTCCTGTTCAACAACGAAGATGCCAGTTTTGGGAGGTATTTTTGTGATAGATGTGTGGTTACACTAAGCTCTAGAAGTTGGTTCGTAGGATTCGTGTAGGATAGAGCAGAACTCACTTATCGATTGATAAAGCCACTGACAAGGATACGGGTGGATCCGAAATACGTCTGAACCGTGTCGTAATGCTGAAGTCATTTGACACGTGCTTTAATTTTCCACACCTGGTATCATTCGTGATACCAGCGCCTTTTTGAAACGAGCCGCATTAGTTGCATTTCTTACCCTTTTTATGAATGTGCAGTATATGGGCGTTATGAGATACGGTAGCACGCTTTGGAGCTCGCCCTTTGATATCAGTAATTCAGTTCGGAGAACTGAATCAAGTTGCAAAACGCTATACACCAGCAATCACTGAAGAATGAGTATGATGCTGCAAATGTCTGTATTTAGCTGGTACAGTTGGATAGGGTAACGCGATCGGCCTTTACTTATGATCATCCAGCATTATTGATGTGATCACGTTCACGTTCAATCGATTTTAGGATAATCACGTGCATGTGCCACAGTAGTTACCTGCCCAATGAGTGACTTCAGGTACACCTATACCTACGGGGGGGACAGGCAAGATCGCACTTAGTACAGGTAAGGTACACCTACCCGCGTCATTTACAGGCAGACGGACTGACAAGCAGACACTGATAAGTACGATTAAAAAGTCCGGCATTCAACCTTGCGCACAGTCACTAATAGCTTCGCCCATCGGGCTTGCAATCACATTAAGGTGCGTTGATCTTCCAGACCTCCCGATCTAACTTGTTACAGTATAGCGTTTAGTCGCCATCGATACCTACAGAATAAAATTGGACACGCGTCTTTCGCCAGCGGTGATACGCAAAAAGACTATCGGTACAGCGAATCTTAGTTCCTTTTAAACAATGGCATCATGTTGTTGACAATGGTGATTGGCGATCGTGCCTAACACAATTGTTTTAATCTCGCCAAGCTTAGCGGGAACCAGGCGGCTAATTGTTCTATCGACTGTGTCATCACGATCAGCCCCGTTTTGACAAAGCTTCCCACTTCCAAAAAAGCCAAATGCGTCCCTTGCAAAGATGTACCTCGAAATTTTTTGGTGTGTGCTGCAATTACAACGTCAAAGGGTTCTTACGGCCGTGTCTCTACGCTTCGGTACATGTGGTAGCATATCCTGACCAAAGTATCGCCTGAATTGTTGTCGCTTTGGCGATTTAAAAAGCTCTTTTTTGTAAATCACGGTCTAAATTGTGCTTTTTGACATGCTCGATCTCGGTGCGCAAATAAGCACCAATCACACTCATCGGTACCTCCGATTGGGTAAAATCGACTTGCTCCCTGAAAGCTCCACGTTTGTGAGGGAGCAGAAGATAGAAGAGAAAGGAATCCTCGCGTGAAATGGTACGTGCGCTGCATCTTATAAGTGGGTGTCTGTCCCGTCTGCACACCTGACAGCCCTCGCAGCTCGTCCGTCACATCTGTAGATATCCTGCAATTTACCTACTCGTCGTCCTCCTTCTTGTTGCGTCATTTAACTCGCGCGAATGGCGTTGTTCTGTGTCTTCCCTCTTCGTACAGGTGGTGCTCTCGGCCTCGTTACTGTCTCGCAATGGAAAAGGTACCAGTTGCTGGCAGAAACTTCTTTCACTTGTGTCTCTTGTCCATGTGATCGACTCACGTGAAGGTGTGGGTCGTACCTGTAGTGCTCGTCGCGCGTCAATTCGTGGAGATCACCCGGATCCGTCTTGAGGTGGGTGAATCTAACTTTCCTGCTGGGTTTTTACTTTTCGGCCCTATGGAATTTAACGGCTTTTGATTATGCCGTACAGGGTCTCTTGGCGGCGTTTCCTAAGCTGCTGTCGAGCTGTTCGCGGGAGCACACGTTCATTGACACGGAGAGCGTGCGTTACGTGTACCAACCTCTTGAGAGCTTCTTTGTGATCATTATTACGAACAAGACGAGCAATATCGTGGAAGATCTGCACACGATTCAGCTGCTGGCGAAGCTTGTGCCGGACATTTGTGCGCCGCTGAGCGAGGCATCGATTCGAGACAAGCAGTTTGAGTTGGTCTTTGGCTTTGACGAGCTCATTACAGCTGGCGGACACTCGGAAAATATCAATGTGCAGCAGGTTCGCATTAACATGGAGATGGAGAGTCACGAGGAGAAGCTGCACAACATGATCCTCGATAGCAAGCGGGCGGCAGCGAAGGATGATATGAAGCGCCACACTGCGCGGATCAAGGAGGAGCAGCGTGAGCGCGCGCGGTTGGAGCGCGCAGGTATGGGCGGAAGTGGATTTGGAGCGCAGAACTCGTTTGGTAGCTCATTCAGCAACGCGTTCAAGTCGCCACGCAGCACAGGCAGTAGTGACAACTTTTTGAACAGTCCCATGTCATCCTCTGCCACCTCGCCGACCTCATTCAGCAATCGCACGGCGCCTGTTGTGTCGAAGGCTGTGGGCATGAAGCTAGGAAACTCGAGTAGTAGCAAGGGAATGGCTTTAGGCGTCGGAGGCAGGTCATTTATGGATGCGATGGCGGCTGAAGATGGGCTGAAGGAAATTCCGCCGATGAGTGCGGCCGTTGAGACCGTCCAGACACCTGAAGTGGCAGCTGCCGTCAGCCACGACCCGATTGGTGCTGTCGTTGAGGAAAAGATGACAGTGATGGTGACCCGCGATGGTGCACTCGAGCAGCTCGAGGTGAAGGGCAGTATGTACGTGTCGGTAAATGATCCGAGCGCTGGTTGCTGTCGCCTCAAGTTGCGTACAGGTGGCGTGGAGGGTATTTCGTTTCAGACGCATCCAAAGGTTGACAAGAGGCTGTACGACAGTGAGTTCGTGCTTGCTCTGCGGGATCCATCGAAACCATTCCCTACTTCCCGCGTGGCATTTTTGCGGTGGGGATTAAAGACACAGGACGAAGCGATGCTACCATTGAATATTACGTGCTGGCCTGAGGACGAAGGTAACGGTAAGATGAATGTGAGCGTCGAGTACTCCTTGGACCGTGACATGGTGCTGGATAATGTGAACATCATGATTCCACTTGGCGGCTCGGACGCGCCAAGTGTTGCTAATGTGGACGGACAGTACCAGCACAACTCGAGTGAAGGCTCGCTTCTTTGGCATCAGGATCAAATCAGCTCTACGTACGTATCCCACTATTTGCTGTGTGACAGATTTGTGCGCTCACGTTTACCGAATCTTTTCTTGCTCACATAGCAACAACTCGGGCACGCTGGAGTTCACGATTCGGGGCAACAACATGGATGCATTCTTCCCCATCTCCGTCTCGTTCTTTTCGCGCAGCGTGTATAGCGATGTGCAGGTAGAGGCCGTTCAGAAGATCGAAGATGGATCGCCCATTGCGTTTGGATTTGAGAAACTGCTCTCCACGGACTCGTACCGAATCGTCTAGAAATTCTCGCGTAAGTCGAGTGTGCTGCTGGGTCGCGGGGGTAAGCTGTACTCGACGCAGCGTCTGTCAGCCGCAAGCGCGAAGGAAAGGTCCCTTAAACCAGAAACAGATACAAATGGAAGCAAACTTATTTGTTGTTCGTACCCAGCGTGACGAGAGCTACATGGAGCTTCAGTGCCGCAGCCTTGAGACGTGAGTTTTACGAGGCAGCACTAGGTCGAAAGACTTGCGGTTGCGAGATCTTGAGCAGCTCCTCCGTCTCGCCACGCAGACACCGTTCCAGCATTCTCTTGGCCATGGCGCACTCTCGGATCTCCTTCTTCTGCTCTCGTACCGACTGAACACACGCTGCCCACTGCAGCAGCGACTGCTCACACAGAGCTCGACCTGCACAACTCATATACTCGGCGTATATCAGCTGCGGCCGCTTCTTCTGCGGTCGTGCATCTGAGTCAGTAGCGTCTTCTTGATGAATAGTAGGTGGCTTGCCAATAGGCGTATCCACGTCCAACATAGCGTGAAATGCCTCGTCACAAGACCTCAGTGCTCGGTACTTGCCACCTAGTCGGCGATCCGTCTCCAGCGCAAGCACTTCGCGCTCTCCAAGTGTGTCGTCCAGCAGCATCTGGATACAAAAAAGAAGAGGTAAGCAGCAATAACAACAAATGCAGATCGTGGAGCTCCTGAGAAGCGCCCGGTGATCAGAGTTCGTCCACGAGCTGCTTTAGACACGAGATAAAATGACGGTGGGAACTGGACGGCTACCGAATACCTCATGGAAACGCACGGTGGACATGCACTGGGGCAAGCTCGCGTCGGTCATGGCGCTCGCTCTGGAAGCAGAAAGTTTCGTCGTGTGGTGCACATGAATTTATCCAGGACAAAAAAAGGGGGCGCTTCAACTACTCCATGACACTCTGGGACGACTGGGCATGGCGAGGGATTCGAGGCCCTCCACTGTGAGTGCTTTCGCTTCCATCCACTTCGTGATCGTCTTCAGTGCTGCTGCCAATCGTTGATTCGAGATTGTTGATGTTCATGTAAGGCTGACGCGCACGCTGGAACACTCGTCGGTAGAGATACACCAAAGTGAGCACGACGATCACGGCGCAGGAGCATAAGATGACGTATCCATACTGCAGCAATGACGACGGCGTGTTCTTCGTGTCCATTTTCAAGCTCGTTGCAGATAAAGCAGTTGCATCTTGAGTGATGTCAGAGGAGGACGAGCTGGCAGGTGCGTCTTCGATGGCACTTGACGTCTTCTCCTCATGATCCAGCGTGCTTCCATCGTTCACGTCCGCTTCACTATCCCCGCTCGAGCTTTCTCCATCATCTTCGTCTGGTGATCTTCCAGCACGTATCTTACCGGCAGTCGGCGTATCGACGCTATTATCCGCCTCCACAATGACATCCTGAGACGGCGCACTTTGAAAGGCAAAAGATGACTTCTGCGCCGGAGATCCGTCAGCCTTTGCGTTTGAAGAATGGCGCTTCGTCTTCGATCTATTGGTGACATCGACAGTGATGATCTAACGATGCGAATGTATCACACAAGTCAGTACCGTGCACGATCGGATCGACCAAAATGATGAACGTACCGGAGACACCCACTCCAGACTAGCCTTCACTTTGTGACCATTCCATTCAGCGGTCCAATCGGCATTCGTTCGAGCATTGACCAAGTGCGACTGTGGCGGCACCTGAGGTGAAGGTTTGTCACCACCAGCCCCTTGTTTTTTCCAGTTCTACAACATGAAAACGCAAGTTATCACACACACAGCACAACCGTCACGATCAAGATATTTGCATACGCTACGATCAGTGCGATCGCCACTCACCTGATCGACTATTGCAACAGCTCGAACGTAAAACGTGTCTGACGTTACGTTACCTAAGTCAAGACACGCGACGAAGAGTGATGTGTCCATCTTATCTGCTGTATTGGCAGCTGCCGCTTCGGACGTGTTGGATGCAAATTCGTAGAATCGCCGGGTGGTACCCTTCTGAGCTTTGGTCTCTATCAAGATCGTATCATCCTCGAAGGATGCACTGGAAGAAACCTGAACGTGAGTGCTGTCCACAGCGAGTGCACCAAGCACCTCCCAAGCAACCTGCAGCTTCGAATGTGCGATTCTGGTCACGCTGCAGTCGGTAGTAGTACACGTCGCGACTCGCTTGCGCTCCCATGCTTGGGCTGCACAGCCCATCTTCGTCACTTGATCGACGCTTGTCGTATACAAGCTTGCCGCTGGGAAGGTGTCGGGGGGTATGCGGCACGGGAGACCGTTCAGCACTCACCCAACGCACGAGAGGCTGGACCATCTCAATCATCATAAGTGCCAGGCGGACATTCCGTGGCACGTGCCCCACGATCTTTGTTGCGGTTCCTTCTGTTCGGAAAAAGTCCACATTCGCGCTGTACAGCTCCTTGAAATCTCCCATGTCGGCCGGCAGGGGCTCCTTGCTGTTTGAAGTCTCGACCAGCACATTGAAGGCGCGATTGGTGACATTGTTGTAGACAGTTTTCTTCTTCGGATATCCACCGAAAGTGGTCGGCTCACAAGGAAGAAAAGGATGCGATTTCTCGTCATAGAACTGGTTCTCCCACGATGCAGCGTATCCCCAGTCTTCCATGCCACCGGTGACGCCGTACACAACGTCGTTCATCGTTCCTGTGGGATACAGCTCGCCATCAGGAAACTTGCCGGCATAGCTAGCCAGCGTGTTGCCGAGCTGGACTTGAGCCATGTCGTCAGGGGACCTCTCACTTGGTTTGGTCTTGTCTCCATGAGAGTAGTGATCCGGCGAGCCCCACTCATACGCAATCGCTCGAGTGCCGCCATGGAACGTCACGGCCAACTGGAACATGTGGTCTCTCCAGATCTCGTTCACCACGCGAGACGTCATTGTCTGCATGCATTCCGTGCCTGCCCTCATGTAGTTGTAGTCTCGGTTCGGGTCCACTGTCAACTCCTCCCGGCGGTTATGTGAGTAGCCGTAAGCATTGGTCATTGGCACCAGCAGCACGTTCCGAGTGTTCACCAGCTCCCTGAGCCAGCGCTGCGTGTCCGCCGTCGGTTTCATCGTATCATCCGTTTGGTAAATCGACGTCGCATGTGCGAAGAGCGCCACAAGCTCAATGACTGCGTTGGGTCCAACACGTTCGTTGCCGTGCACCGCTCCACTGAAGAAGACCTGAGGTCTCTCGGGATCACTTGCTAGCGTCGAGTGGTTGGTCAAGTGCACGACAAACTGTTTGCATAGCTCCGTCGCGTTCGTCTTTTCGTCCACGATGCACTGGAGCTCTTCAGGGTACGGCAGCTTGTAGGTCTCCTGAGCCACTGAAACCCGCACAACGTCGGGAAACGTCGCGTTGAGCTCCAGCAAGTACTCGGCCATCTCCGCATACGTCCTGTACTTGATCAAGGACGACGCCGAACCGACGAGGGCGTGACATTCATCCGCGAGGGACAGACCCAGCGCCAGCAATAGACCAGAGCGGAGCATGGCCAACGCCGCTCAACGAGATTACGGATAAAAGAGACTGGCCACGTACTCTGGGGTGGGGTAACAGCTGGCTGCCATGCAGACGAGTGTTAAAGACGTGCGACGCAACTGATTTTAGAAAGAGTCACGTGCGACTCAACTGATTTTAGAAAGTGTCACGTGCGACTTGGTTTGTACACACTCTAAGAGCTCATCGAGATGCGGGAAACTGCATCAGGTGGATAAGATAGCTTCAAACCAAGTGGTTGTTGCTTAGGCCACCCACTAATGACCAACTCGTTGCAGTACCCATGCATGAACAATCTTCACCTCCCTGCCGCGGTTTTTGCGGTAGCCCCGACCATCATCTGCTGTGCACAGCGCAGTGCTCCTCGTGCTAATGCAACCGTCCTCCCATTATGCTGGCTAGTTCGTCTCTGCAGTTGACACCTACGCAGCACGTATCTTACCGGCAGTCGGCGTATCGACGCTATTATCCGCCTCCGCAACGACATCCTGAGACGGTGCACTTTGAAAGGCAAAAGATGACTTCTGCGCCGGAGATCCGTCAGCCTTCGCGTTTGAAGAATGGCGCTTCGTCTTCGATCTATTGGTGGCATCGACAGTGATGATCTAACGATGCGAATGTATCACACAAGTCAGCACCGTGCACGACCGGATCAACCAAAATGATGAACGTACCGGAGACACCCACTCCAGACTAGCCTTCACTTTGTGACCATTCCATTCAGCGGTCCAATCGGCATTCGTTCGAGCATTGACCAAGTGCGACTGTGGCGGCACCTGAGGTGAAGGTTTGTCACCACCAGCCCCTTGTTTTTTCCAGTTCTACAACATGAAAACGCAAGTTATCACACACACAGCACAACCGTCACGATCAAGATATTTGCATACGCTACGATCAGTGCGATCGCCACTCACCTGATCGACTATTGCAACAGCTCGAACGTAAAACGTGTCTGACGTTACGTTACCTAAGTCAAGACACGCGACGAAGAGTGATGTGTCCATCTTATCTGCTGTATTGGCAGCTGCCGCTTCGGACGTGTTGGATGCAAATTCGTAGAATCGCCGGGTGGTACCCTTCTGAGCTTTGGTCTCTATCAAGATCGTATCATCCTCGAAGGATGCACTGGAAGAAACCTGAACGTGAGTGCTGTCCACAGCGAGTGCACCAAGCACCTCCCAAGCAACCTGCAGCTTCGAATGTGCGATTCTGGTCACGCTGCAGTCGGTAGTAGTACACGTCGCGACTCGCTTGCGCTCCCATGCTTGGGCTGCACAGCCCATCTTCGTCACTTGATCGACGCTTGTCGTATACAAGCTTGCCGCTGGGAAGGTGTCGGGGGTATGCGGCACGGGAGACCGTTCAGCACTCACCCAACGCACGAGAGGCTGGACCATCTCGATCATCATGAGCGCCAAGCGGACGTTCCGCGGCACGTGCCCCACGATCTTTGTTGCGGTTCCTTCGGTTCGGAAAAAGTCCACATTCGCGCTGTACAGCTCCTTGAAATCTCCCATGTCGGCCGGCAGGGGCTCCTTGCTGTTTGAAGTCTCGACCAGCACATTGAAGGCGCGATTGGTGACATTGTTGTAGACAGTTTTCTTCTTCGGATATCCACCGAAAGTGGTCGGCTCACAAGGAAGAAAAGGATGCGATTTCTCGTCATAGAACTGGTTCTCCCACGATGCAGCGTATCCCCAGTCTTCCATGCCACCGGTGACGCCGTACACAACATCGTTCATCGTTCCCGTGGGATACAGCTCGCCATTACCAAATGTACCAGCAAAGTTAGCCAGCGTGTTGCCGAGCTGGACTTGAGCCATGTCGTCAGGGGACCTCTCACTTGGTTTGGTCTTGTCTCCATGAGAGTAGTGATTCGGCGAGCCCCACTCGTACGCGATTGCTTGCGTTCCGCCATGGAACGTCACGGCCAACTGGAACATGTGGTCTCTCCAGATCTCGTTCACCACGCGAGATGTCATCGTCTGCATGCATTCCGCGCCTGCCCTCATGTAGTTGTAGTCTCGGTTCGGGTCCACTGTCAACTCCCTGCGCTGGTTGCGAGAGAAGCCGTACGCGTTGGTCATTGGCACCAGTAGCACGTTCCGAGTGTTCACCAGCTCCCTAAGCCAGCGCTGCGTGTCCGCCGTCGGTTTCATCGTATCATCCGTTTGGTAAATCGACGTCGCATGTGCGAAGAGCGCCACAAGCTCAATGACTGCGTTGGGTCCAACACGTTCGTTGCCGTGCACCGCTCCACTGAAGAAGACCTGAGGTCTCTCGGGATCACTTGCTAGCGTCGAGTGGTTGGTCAAGTGCACGACAAACTGTTTGCATAGCTCCGTCGCGTTCGTCTTTTCGTCCACGATGCACTGGAGCTCTTCAGGATACGGCAGCTTGTAGGTCTCCTGAGCCACTGAAACCCGCACAACGTCGGGAAACGTCGCGTTGAGCTCCAGCAAGTACTCGGCCATCTCCGCATACGTCCTGTACTTGATCATGGACGACGCCGAATCGACGAGGGCGTGGCAGTCATCCACGAGGGACAGACCCAGCGCCAGCAATAGACTAGAGCGGAGCATAATCTCCTCTTGGAAAAGCACTTGTCGTTCGTAGCGCAGATTGCAAAGTGATGTTGTAAAAAGGTCTTGAGTTTACTGTTGCGTATTTTTGTCAAAGGTCTCCGCCTTTTTTACGACAAGACGACTGAGATTGTCATGTCTCTGAATATTGACTTGACGACCAGGCCTTTTTTACAGCAAGACGACTGAGATTGGATCGTCGCTGAGTATTGACTCTTGACGATACTGGCTACCAATGTAGTAGCACCTTACCATGTTGAAGGTCTTCCAACCCGACCCTCTTCCCCTGGACGAGAAGTCATCTACCGTGGGGCCCTGGTAAAAGGGAAACACATTCTTTACGCTGCGTGCCACACAAGAGGCAGCGTAGCGTGTGATCCGAAAGGGAGGCAATAAGCAAGGCATCCCGAGGTGTGGGGCGCATCGACAAAGCACGGATACCCTGTATCACGAAGAGAACTCGCTAACTGACCTCCCTTGCGGGCGTCTCTGTACCCTACATACATCCACAGCTTGGTAACCGGTCACAAGTGCCCTATTAGAGCACCCGTCGTGACGCCTCACGTCTCGAGCCAGCAGAATGAATGAGCCAGCGCTTAGAAGAATGATGTAGTCATGACAGAAGACTGGGGCAAATGTTAATACTAACAGTAAATAATAGCCACAAGTACCAGGAATCGACAGTCTGGTCCTCTCTCCTCTCACGTTGGAGGTCACTCGTTGTGCGAGACGTCTTGACAACACCAGCGACATGAAGCGGGGAGTTCAACGAGACTACCTCCTCTCAAGATTTGGACAGCGGATCGCTACAATGTAGACGAGGGAGTGATACAGGCGCGCGAATAAATTGATCTTAGATTGTCGCGACCGACTCGCTTAGCACATAGGAGCTCGACGAGATGCGTGAAACCTCATCCGGTGGATGAGAAAGCTCCAAATCCAAGTGGTCGTCGCAGTAGCCACCACCAATGACCCATTCGTTGCAGTGCGCATAGGAGCACTTTTTGCCCCCGCCGTGGCCTTTGCAACAGCCACCACCACGGTCTACTGCGCTGCAGCTATGCTCTCTGCACTTTGTACCACCACCATGACGAATGCAAAATCCTTTGCCTTTCTGCTTGTTTGTGCATCCCTCGTGTTGACACAGCTTACTACCTCCGTGAGCTTTGCAGAGTTTGCGATTCTGCGCTGCGCGGTCACAATTTACTACGCTGCACATGACCTTACCACCGTGACCACGGCAGCGCTTGTTTACCTGGCGAATCTTGTTGCAGCCTTCCACGATACACTTGCGTCCCCCACCGTGCGCGATGCAATGACCCCCACCAAGGTCGTACTTTGTACATCCTGCCGTTTTGCAACGCTTGCCTGGACCCTTGTGTTCCAAACAAATGCCTCCACCCAGTGCCCAATTCTTGCAGTTATCCGCCTCGCACTTTTTACCACCGCCGTGCGCCTTGCAAAAGCCGCCACCGCGGTCAACTTTTGTGCAGTCTTTTGACTGACATTTCTTCCCGCCACCGTGCGAGATACAACGACCACCACCAATATCTCGTCTTGAGCAGCCCTCGTGCTGACAGAACCTACCGCCGCCGTGCGCTTTACAATACCTGACACAATAGACACACAAAACGTGAATAGATGAGCCTCATCAGGTCAAAACAGTAGCCACGGTGCTCCTATCTCAGCTTCTCTCACCCTCCTTCCATCCTTTTTTTCTCGCAACCTTCAACAGAACACAGAGGTTTTCCACCATGCCCAGAGCAAAAGCCATACCCCTGAACCTGTTTGTCACAACCCTCTCTTTTGCACTTTTTGCCACCACCGTGCTTGATACAATAGCCAACCCCCTGGCTGTACTTGCTACACTTAGGATGTTTACAGAACTGACTAAACTTATGCGTTGCACAGCGCCCATCCAGGCCTGTTGCTGCACGTATACATCTCGTACGCTCTTTGTTGTAATATCGGCATCGATTTTTCGAGGTGACAGGAATCACTGCCTCAGCTGATAGACCTGTTGCCTCAATCAGTTGGCTGCTCCGACCGTCGTCGACTTCCAATTGCACAGGTGAAAGCTGCAGCACTTTGCTAACTACAGCAACAGTCTCGTCCACCGAACTCGTCGTAGACGCAACAGCCTCTTCTGCCTCCGAATCCTTTTGCTCTTGTTCTGCCTGGGCCAACAACATCCTGGCAAATTCAGCCCCATCATGGTCAATCTCCGTGAGTCCATCCGACTCGACAAAGGACGTGCGGAAGTCCAGCTCGGACGGCTGCGGTGTTGATAGGTCTGCTGTATTGATAAATGCCATAGCACAGCACGACAGAAAATACGTCAGCACTGTATTTCTAACGCATGGTGGACAAAACTTTACAGACAGAGTTCCACCTAGCTACTTACGAAGACTGGCTTGAATATCATCATCCTCTGGACGCATGCCGCGCAGGAAGCGCAGATAGTCGTTCTCACGCTCGTCCGCGGCGTCCATTGCTTGCTGCAAATAGTTCGCGATCGAATGAAGCCTGGACTGTTGGTAGAAATAGCGTTAGAAATAGAGTAATGTCGGTGTGGTTCCCTCCCTCTCTCGCTCGATGACCCTAAGATACTTGTAGCAAATAATATTTGAGTGGTGTACCTACTTCTTGCCATGGGTTCCTTTTCATCGAGGGATCAAAAAAGGTGCATAGCAAAATAAATTTAGCTAAGAGCCTAAATATAAATATAATTCTTCTAGATATAAGAAATGAGCTCACCAATTCTAAACTAAAAATGTACGACGAGGTTGACGAATTTTGAGAAGTATCAAGAATGTGCACTATTTGCACCACTGTACACATGCCGAAACTCATGGAGAAATATAGATTTCGTCGTAGCTCTATTCATTTGAGATCGTTTTTATGGTCAAGAGATCGGAGAATTGCTCGCCCTCATAACGGATCGACACAATCGATGACGGTATTATATTAAAGGCCTATGCTACGTGGTTGACGAGTTGCCGGATCGGTGTGAAAGGAACGAGTTTGTGCCGTCGCACTAGACCCAAGGCTAAAACGATAAAGAGTGAATGGTGGCAAATTGAAGGAAATTTAACGAAGCCAACTTGGCATACAGTGCGAGCCCACGGATTCACGATCAAGACGTTGATGAAGGATTTAGACAAGCAAGCTTTGAAGTTCTACAAAGACGTTATCGCCTGGTCCATGGTGGTTCTCGTCGATCGACTCGATGAAACGGCAAAGAAAGAGAATGATATCGCTCGCCACTCGAATAAAATATCAAGGCAAGCTTGAACTCAGAGTGATAGGGTCGTAGCAAAGGTCTGGCTAAGATATTGAATCGCGAAGTTTGACTCAGCTTGTATCATGCTGAGAGGATATAATAATAACAGGTACAGAAAGACACCGACGTACCGAGTCCACGCAGAGACTATGAGCCCCTCGCAGCACTTGGATCGAAATTGCCAACTACTAGACCGTGAAGCTAGCCACTAGCCAGTCGACATAACAACTCGCGGGCATTTGTGCAGAAAAGCAGTCGCAATCTACCATTGTACAGGAAGAACATCTGGTGGACCGGTACCAAGCTCATGTGGGCGAGACCAAACGCGCATGGACTAGAAATTGGCACATCTTCACGCCGATAAGTTGAACAGAACTTGTGTTAATGCAAACATCTAGTGACAATCGGCTTCAAACAAGTGCATCGCTTCGTGTAATCGAATACATGGCAGCTATTTTGACAGCTGGTTATGCCACATTCACGATGTAGTCGGTCTTCCCTCGTTAGCACAGCATAACGCCGATCGCGTCGTAGAAGGTATGGAATCGATGGCGAAAATAATATTCGCCAGTAATGACTGTAGCAATCAATGTAGTGACACCACTAGACCACGCGAACACTCAATCTCTTTCGTTCTATGATGAAAAATTTACGTGCATATCTCTACGTTCCCAACCATCTGCGCAGTCATTCGGACGGTGTGCATCCTTGATGCAATTTATTTCCGATTTTGTGTGACACCTTTTGAGCTCAACATAATTTGGCACACCTTTTCAGTTTTTGAGCAATTTCGTATATTTTTATTGTGTGATATATTTCTATTTTTTGTCATCTTGGTGTCTATAATCGATATCCCTTCCACCAATCACTGACATCGTTAGTGAACTGGTTGGTCCGAAAGCATTCAGACAGAGGAAGCATGACGAGTGTAGCGGCGATCAGGCAGCTGGAGGCCAAGGTAAAGGGAGATGTCACGCAGATCAACGAACTGCCCAAGGTGGTCAAGGCGCTTCAGCATAGCGACAAGGCAGTGGTACAGGCAGCAATGCTGAGCACGCGACGAGTGCTGCTGTTCTTCCTGGAAAAGGGCGACCTGCAGCTCAAGCCGACAGAGCAAGAGGCAGCTAAGAAGTCTAAGGGAGACGATGCCCAAGCCATTGAAAAGTTTCGCCGCTGGATTTGGGACGTTTACGTGAATTTTCTCCAGAAGATGCTGCAGTGGGTGGGAGACGCGCAGATGGACAGCAATCTGCGTGTTGGAGCGCTGCGCACGCTGATGGAGTTTGTGTCTCGCGAGAGCGCAATTCGTAGAGAAGCTGCGTCTTCTTTTGGTAATGAGACGTTTACACGAGTGGTGCAGAACTTAGTAACAACAGAAAAGCTGAAGGGGGAATTGGCGAGTGTTTTTCAAGGTGAATTCGTCGGAGCGTACATGGATGTGCAGTACTATATGGTACGATTGTAACGTGAGCACGAGGTGTGTTGGCTTACTGATCGAGTACTGTTTGTGTGCGCAGCTGAAGGATTTGGCACAGATATTGGACCACGTGCATGTGCAAAAAGATGAGGACGAAACAAAGAAGTTGACACTGGTGACAAATGCGCTTCGGATGCTTGGGATGGTGCAGATGCCGGACGAGACGGACGAGATCTCATCGTTCCTCGTCGAGCCAAAGGATGCTACCTCGCCCACACCAGAAATGATAAGCAGCGATGACGAAAGTGACAAGGAAGAGAAAGAGGTGCTTCTTACCTCTGGATCAAAGAGGAAGGCTGGATCTGATTCAAAGACAAAAAAGAAGGACAGTCGAGGTTTGCGCAGCGTGAAACAGCACCGTTATGTTTTCAGTCTGGCATGGATTGCAGTCCTACGCCACAAGCTACCGCAGGCTGCGTACAGGAAGCTTTTGGTGCAACTGCCGGACAAGATCATGCCGAATCTGGTGAACCCGCTATTGCTCGCCGACTTTTTAACCGATTCGTATGAGATCGGTGGAGTCACGAGTTTGTTGGCGCTGAACAGCCTCTTTATTCTAATCCAGGACTACAACTTTGACTCGCCCGACTTCTATAACAAGCTGTACGCTATGCTGGACGACCCGTCACTGTATTCGGCCAAGCAGCGCGACCGCTTCTTTGGACTGCTGAACTTGTTTCTCTCGTCTACACACTTGCCGGCATACACAGTCGCTGCTTTTGCCAAGCGGTTGTCGCGCAGTGCGCTGACGGCGGAGCCAGGTGCGATTCTGTTTATCATTCCGATGGTGTACAACTTGATCCTGCGCCACAAAGAATGTTTGCAGCTCATCCATCGTACCGGGTCGTTCACCGCAGCTGAGAAGGCCGCTAAGCGTCGAGAGGAGTTGTCCAGTGGCACAGCCGTTGATGCCGTAGCAAAACGGTTGTCTAGCAAGAAGCTGGAATTGGTTTTGAAGGACGGCCACGATCCCTTCATAAACGATGAGCTTGACCCGGCTAAATGCAATGCGTTGCAGAGTTCGCTGTGGGAGTTGTACACAATGAAGCACCACTACAACGCAGACGTCGCGTTGAAAGCGCGGATGTTTGAGGAAAAGTTGCGTCACCAGTTTGTCGATACCGCTGCGAGTATGGAGATCGATTACAAGAGTCTTTTCGAGAAGCAGCTGAAGCGAAAGGAAAATGGGAAGGTGCCGTTGGCATTCCACACCAGCAAAGGACTCTTTGCTAACGCCACTTGTGGTGACGACAGCGAAAGAAAAGAGGAGGACAACATCTTTGCTCAAGTGTTCGAACTTTAACTTTTGCTTTTTGCAACAATATATCCATTCCTTAGACGTGATTTACCCGCGCAAGCTTGTATGAGATTGTCACTTGCGTAGTTCGCAGTGCTGTTATCGAAATTGAATCAAGATTTCGTGCTATACAAAAGTACAATCATACAATGGCTAAGACTCCGTGTCGAGGTGCTGCTGCATGTAAGACGCTAGCATCTTGGTTGTTCCTGGCATGCCCACATCCGCTCGAGTGAGTGTTTGGTCATGCAATGCGAAGAATCACATGGATCCCGCTGTCGCTCTCTACTAAGTCACTAAGATCGCCAATTTGCAGAGCAAACGCAGCCTTTTCAAACGACGCAGTCATCTTTCCGCGCGTGAACGGTCCCAAGTCGCCCCCGCGCTTTGCACTACATACCGTACAATAAGCATCAGTCCACAACGTGCATCCGTTCTATTCTTTCCGAAGACCACTCATGCCTCTCATTGGTTACACACCTACTGCAGTCACTCTCCTCTTTCGCAATCTGTTCAAACAGCTCGCGTAGTGCCTCACATGATCTCTGCAAAGGTAAGAAAAAAGCTGAGCATCACCCGGACCGCAACACCACCTCCTTGCACCCAACTCCTAGCCAGCGTACATCAGCATTCGCCTCGACATGTGCCAGTAGCTTGTCACGGATACCTCCCGCCTTGGCCTCTGCAACTGCCTTACTTCGGGTGATGGTCTCCTGTCGCCAGGACGATGGTCTCCTGGATCCCGAGTGCTTCACGAGGATATGCAGCGCCTGCATGCAGTTCAGAAACACGCGTATCAGCAACAGTTTCAACTTATTATTTCTGACCAATCACGTTTCTATCAAATTCGGTAAGGCTGAATAAGACGTACCTGAACACTCTCTGAACCAGAGGAGTCGTCGACTGGACGCGTTTTCTTTCCCTCTGAGCGAGCCGTCGACGTCCGGCCCCGTCGGAGCTCGCGCTCCTTGGCGTGCACGTGCGAGAGTTTCCACGTCTTTTCACCGCTTTTCACATGTAGGTAGTACACTCTGTCAGGGCGACTCTTGCTCTGCACCTCCTTCCAGCCACGAGGTAGGTCCGTAGTTGTCTTGCTCATCCTTCAGCAGAATTTATTGACCGTCCCAATAAAAATAAGTGTTTGGCCGAGTTTTTTCGACGAATCATTTCCCTTTTTCGCTACTTATTGCGAGCTTAGTAGCCAATGACACACGGCCTACTGCACAACGTCGCGCCGACATCAAGTACTGCCAAAACGCCACGGTATCGTCTAAAACCGAGGGACAACCTCCGGGTTGTACGAACCGCATAGCAAATTCAAACACTTTACTTATGCGACATGCAAACTCGAAAGAGCGCGATTTAGGCTACGTACGCCATTAATTTCGATATGCAGTATCATTTGGTTTCTTACTGTATGTTCTTGTATTGGGATAGCGACAGCGCCAAATTCCCCGGTGCTCGTAGGCCTGAGCAATGGCCCCGAAAACAGCAAATCCAGTAGTTATCAATGGGCACAAGAGGCAGCCGCCTTCGGGATTATGTTTGAGCACATGATAGCTGTCAGAAAACGATTGGAACTGTGTAATCGAGTAGAGACATCCCAAATTATCCGTTGCACTATAGATTGATGCACGTTCCACATGCTCCCAGCCAGTCTCGCATGCTACGGATGCTCTTCCCGAATACGCTTGTCAAAAGATTCTTTGCCAAGATCGTTGTGCTGTGACCAAACCCTTTACGTCGAGTGTAACGGGGTTGCACGAAATCATGGTACTTTGTACCAGAGGTGTTACACACCTGAGGGTTCGCTTCTGTAAAGGTGATATAGAATATCTTATCGGTTTGTAGGGGCTGACGAGTGTCAGCCATTAGATACGAAAGATCTTTGAGTAGGATTAAGATATTCTATAGGCTTTAACAAAAATAAAATCAGTTCCCATTTTGATCTGAAAGACACGTGGCTTGCGAGCCGTCTTGATCGTTGATCTCTGATCACTAAGAGTTAGCGACACCTCCTTGAGGTAGCTACTCTTGAGCACTAAGTGCTGTCGATTCACTGAATCGTTAGGTCCCCTGGAACAGGGATCTGAAGCTATAAAGCTTGTTGACTCGTAAAGTCGTTAGTTCTTTAGAACTAAGTTGCTCGTAGAGCGTTAAGTCTTCCTCTGACTTAAGGAGCTGTGTAGCTCCGCTACACTTGGTAGCACTCGTAGTCAATCTACGCCTGAGTCTTTAAGACTGATCCTCTGTGAGGATGGAAAACATCACTCCCCTATCTGAGGCCCAAAAGGTCGCGCTTGATAAGCTGACCGCATCTTTGGGTCCAGAGTACGTGGAGTTCCTTGTTTCACAAGGTCCTGAAGTGCTTAATGCACGTGTTGAAAGCTTCATGCAGTATGAAGCGACCCTTTTAGGGCAGGTCCAAGACCAAATAGCGTCGGCTATGCCTACACGCTACGTGTCTGTACCAGACGAAGAGGCTAAGCCTCGTCCACTTAGAGTGGAAGTAAAAAACTACTCCGGTAAGGAGGGCGAGAACCTCATCCTCTGGATCCGTGAGATCGAGATGGCCATGAGATCAGGCCTGATCACGCTTGACCATCAACAGGTCTCGCTGGCTATCTCGAAGCTCGATGGTAGAGCTAGAGAATGGGCCTTGACGTGTAGCACGTCGGTGGACATAGCGTTTCCCACATGGGAGTCGCTCAAGTTACAATTGGTACAGGTGTTTTCTCCACCTAACCAGGCTTACCGCGTGCGCTCACGCTTTCTTTCTACCCGCCAGGGTAAGAATGAATTATCGGACTATGTCCAAGAGCTGCGAACGCTCATGGCTGCAATGCAGTCTGACCCTTTGCCTGAAGCAGTCCATGTGACTATCTTCATGGAAGGTCTACGTACTGGCATTGCCAGGACCGAAGTTTTTCGGGTTCACCCCTCTACGTTTGAAGAGGCTGTGAGAATTGCCCTTAATGCTGAGCATAACTTCAAGTCGGCCAGACTTGGTTGGAACGGATACAATCCTCGCTCTGTGAGAGCAAACTATTCGGGTACCACTGCCTTTAATAGGCCGGAACCGATGGATCTCAGCTATGCTGAAGATGGAGGGGAAGCTGAGCTTCAAGCTGCTGAGCAGAAACACGTTGTAAGACGATGCTTTACGTGCGGAAGCACTAAACACTTGCGGCCTGGTTGCCCTTTGCGTAAGCAACGCCAGACTACGAGCCAACACTCGAGCCCGAGTCAGAAGTCTGGCATGGCACGGGGAAATACCGACACCCAGTAGGCGCGGGGCGCCCTACTGGGGAAGAACTATGTTCTGTTACACCTTTAGAAGGTAAAGGAATGCAGGGCTTAGCCCCAAAGAGTACCATACCTACGGGTATGGTGCGTGGATACAAGTCTGGCTTGTTGGTCGCTGAGGCGGAAATTAAGGGCTTCGAGAAGCCTTGGTCGATATTGATCGATTCTGGAGCGTCTTGCAATTATGCTCGACGCCGTTCCCTTGAGGGAAGTCAGCGTTATGCTGAGGCGCTTACAGCGCATGAGGGTGATTCTATCACGGTTCGTTTAGCGACTGGAAGTCGCGTAACGGTGCCTAAAGTTCCATTGAACTTAGGTATAAAGTTTTTAGACTTTGACAGTATTGAGCGCTGTCTTGTCCTAGATTTGGACTCGAGATATGACCTCATCCTAGGCATGGCATGGCTAGAACGTTATGAGCTATGGATTGATTGGAGGTCAAAGAACTTAGGCGCAACGCGCAATGCTCCTGGTGGGGCCCTGGAGAGTCATGAACCCACCTGTGCTAGGAAGCAGAAGCGCTTTTGGCGCGAGCCTTTGACAGAAGATGTCAATGTGCTGGATATTGGAATGTCCGAGTTATCTAACTCCAATGTTAAAAACATAAGTTTCGAGCCTAGCTCGTCTAAAACTAGTGAAACGGCACGTACTCCGTTGAGTGGTACTCGTTGTGATAACGAGTCACTGCATGCTGAAAGCATGGTTGGCCTAGGGCCGAGTGATCAAGGACGTGATTCCTTTGATGTGTGTATGGTGGCACGTGAAATTACACCGAGTGCGGTCGGCCGTGAGAGCACCGTACTGAATGTCGGTAATGACATTGTTGGCCATATGCCATTTAGTGTGGGCGGCCGTGAGGGCACCACGCTTAACGCCGGTAATGGCGTTGTTGGCGATTCGCCATGTTGTGTGGGCGGCCGTGAGGGCACCACACCTAATGTCAGTAATGATATTGTTGGCGATACGCCGTATAGAGTGGACGGCCGTGAGGGCACCACGCTTAACGCCGGTAATGGCGTTGTTGGCGATTCGCCATATGGTGTGGGCGGCCGTGAGGGCACCACACCTAATGTCAGTAATGATATTGTTGGCGATACGCCGTATAGTGTGGGCGGCCGTAAGGGCACCACACCTAATGTCAGTAATGACACTGTTGGCGATACGCCGTATAGTGTGGACGGCCGTGAGGGCACCACACCTAATGTCGGTCAAGACAAAAGCTCTCGTGTAGAGCGTACCATGGTTGGTAGTAACCATGGGGACAATATTGTCCCGACCCCTAAGGGGAGTAAGGTCTCGAAGAGACAATCGAGACGCCGAGTAGCAGCTGTAAAGCGCCAGGCGTCCTCACAGTCACATCGTGAGATTAGCAATACACTATATACACTTGTTAATGGAGTGACTGGTCAGGTTAATGGCAACGTGAGCCTCGAAACCCTTCCATCTGTGGACGCTCTGTGTGAGCTAGACGAAATGTCTGATGGCGAGTTTAGCCAGGCCTTGAAGGCAGGAGAGTTATCCGAGTTAGCGGTCATTAGACCTGATACTGAGTTGAATTCTTCCTCGTTAATGGATGAGTCTGTCCTAGAGGATACAAAGGCGGCACTTAGTGCACGAAGTGGATCTTCGATCCTTAAAGATCCTTTGGATCCGTTCTATCCTTTAGTCAAGGACTTTCAAGATGTGGTGTGTCACAACCCACCTTCTGCCTTACCTCCCGATAGAGGTGTACGTCATGAGATTGACTTGGTTCCAGGAACCAAATACTGTGTGACGCGACAGTGGCCGCTGCCACGAGAACAATGTGACGTCATTGACGAGTTCTTTCGTGCGAAGCACGCGGCTGGCATGGTGCGTGAGAGTAAGTCTCCTCACTCTACGCCCACGTTTTGTGTGAAAAAGCCTAATGGGAAGTGGCGAATAGTGCATGCTTACAATAAGCTGAATGCAGCCACTATCCCGGCTCAAACACCGATTCCTCGCAAGGATGTTCTTCAGAACAATATGATGGGATGTACGATGTACAGTGCCCTCGACTTAGTCGATGGATATTACCAACTGCTCATGCGAGCTAGTGATATCCCGCTGACAGCGGTCAGTACTCCGAGCGGTATGCTCTGGGAGTGGTTAGTGATGCCCCAAGGGCTATCTAACGCACCGGCTACATTTAACCGGTTGGTAACGCAACTATTCAGACCTCATCGAGGCTATGCACAAACGTACTTTGATGACATTTTTGTCCATAGTCGTGCAATGAATGGGCGATCAGATGTGGATAACCACATTGATCATTTACGAGCTGTGCTCGAGTGCATGCGAACGAATAAGCTGTATGCGAACGCATCGAAGTGCATCTTCGGTGCGGAAGAGATTCCCTTTTTGGGATGCTTCATTGGGAAGCGAGGCCTTCGAGCGGATCCCGCTAAGGTAAAAGCCATAGTCGATTGGCCAGTCCCCAAGAACCAAAAGGACTTGCGTAAGTGGCTTGGCCTTGCCAATTACTTACATAAGTACAGTGCAAATTACGCAGATATGGCTAGGCCATTGTCCAATCTCCTTAAAAAGGATGTGGGTTGGTGTTGGGGTAACACCGAACATAATGCTTTTGAAGCCATTAAGGAGAGTCTCCTTCAGGCGCCAATATTGGCTTTGCCCGATTCTGGTCGGCCTTTCAGTGTCGTCTGTGACGCATCTGACTTTGCCATAGGCAGTGCTCTGTTACAAACAGATGTCGACGGACGCGAACGCGTCATCGCATTTGAATCTCGCCAGCTGAAAGCTGCAGAGAAGAAC